TCCAGGGAGCTGAAAAGATCATGCCTGTTGCTGCTGATATTGCCCCCACCTGTGTCTTACAAACTGAGTCTACTCCTCAGGAAGGGCACCTTTTTCTTGCTAATTTTGTTATTTATTTACGTGTTTGTTTGTTTTTGAGTCAGAGTCTCACTGTAGCCCAGGCTGGAATGCAGTGGGATGATCATGGCTCGCTGCAGCCTCGACATCTTGGGCTTAGGTCATCTTTCCTCCTCAGTCTCCCAAGTAGCTAGGACTACAGGTGCATACCACTGTGCCTGTCTAATTTTATTTTTATTTATTCTTATTTTTTGTAGACAGAAAGTCTCTCCATGTTGCCCAGGCTGTCTTGAACTCCAGAACTCAGGTAGTCCTCCCGCCTTGGCCTCCCAAAGTGTTGAAATTACAGACATGAGCCACCCTGTCCAGCTTCTTTTCTTGCAAATTTTATTAGTGGCTCTTCATACTATCTTTCATCTATGACTGTGACCCCCCCATCCTTCACCAGCTTGGTTTCTTCCAGATAGAAGCCTCACAAAGTCCTGGACTAGCAGGCACTGGGTTTGAGAGACAGCTTTGCAAGAGTTCCCTGAAGGAAACATCAGCTATGGCATCAGCTGTGGCCATAAGGTAGACAGGTACACCTGTGGGAGGCCAGTATAACTGAGTGGCACAGGACATTATAGAGAACCAAGCTCTCGTGTCAGGCAGCTTGGGTCCCATGCCCAGCTTTGCTACTTACCAGCTGTATAGCCTGGGAAAGTTATTCAAAACTCTTTAAGCCCTTTTTTTTTTAGTATAATAATAGTATCTAACTCATAGGGTTGCTTTAAGAATTTAAAAAGTTTATATATATATATGTGTATTTATACATACACATATGTATATGGTACTTAACACTATGCCTGACACATAGTCAATCATTTAGCCATTATTGATATTGTTAATCATTCAAACATTTATCAGTCAGTTGCTATAAACCCTGCTGAGGGCTGAGACTCCCAGTTTCTGCCCTCAGAGACCTCACAGTCCGATGGGAAATGACCACAGAAGAACCTGCAGTAAGCATGCAGCTTGGTAGGTACTTTGTTAATGATTACTTTTTAAAAACTATTACTAATAGGTGACAACCATTTTTTTGTTAGCCTTTGTGTGCTACATGCTTTATATAAGTCATATGTATGAGCTTTCTAGTCTAAATACCTGGGTTCAAATCTCAGCATCATCACTGACTAATTATGTGATTTTTTGGGGGGTGTGTTAATGAACTACTTTGAAATTTAGTTAATTCATCTTGAATATAGATACAAAAGTTAGAAAAAAAGATATACATAAGATGTCACCAAAGTGTATTGTACATGGTAGGCGCTTAATAAGTGTGTTGGCTATAGGGGTTGAATAGGTACTTAAAGCAGTAACTAGGGTGCTGGAAGACTTAAGCTGGATGACGACTGCCTCTCACACATAGGAAGTCTGTCTGGGTGGGTTTGAAGGCAGCATGTCTGTCTGGACTGTGAGGTAGGATTGCGATGCTCAGTGGCTTCTTTGGGTGGGAGCCAGTTCTGAGCCAATGACTGCAGTCTCAGGGGCCAGTGGCTGGGTATACCAGTAGAGTTCTGGCAAGAACTCGGCAGAATGTTCCACATAGGGCAGGCCTTTAGGACCAAGGTGGATGACGGGGAGGGGGGTTGTGGACAAAAGATGTTCATGTTCTGGAAGAACCTGGATGCTCTGGGCTTTCCTAACACTCCCTGTCTTGCATCACCCAACCCTACATCATGGCTAGGATGGCTTATGCTGGCTCTGGGCCAGGCCTTCCGGGGCTGAAAGTAGGCAAGTCACATCATATTTCTCTCTGTCCCAATTTTCTTTTCTGTCTAACTGGGAGAGTAATCCTAGTTCTGCCTATAATACAGCATTAATAAAACAATCACATATAGAAGAATGTTGAGAAATACAAAGCATTACAAAAATAAGGCATTATCATTCCTGACATAATTACTACTACTACCACAATAACAGCTACTAATGACTATGACTATTGCTTAGTCTCTTACTATGTGTCAGTTATACTTTAAGGATTATCACGAATCTGCCCTCAGCTGATTACCAAAAAGATGAAGAAACTGAGACTGAAAGAGACAAAGCCACCACTAGTCCCTTTACGGACTTTGCGTAAGTTTGGAAAAGACTCCCCTTCTCCACCTGGGCAGATACAGCCCCTTGGGGACATGTGGCTTGGTAAGTGGAACACAGGCTGGTTTTTAGTCTCCACTCACCCTTGACAAGGCAGCCTGAGGCAGGACACAGCCACCACAAATTTGCTACAACCTGCACATGGAAGTCAAGTAGCACGGTGCAGCAAGAGACCAAGTCAAGACTCAAATTTAGGCCTGTGACACAAAGCAGGAGGACCCCAGCTGGGCATCTGCTGCCTGGAAAACCTGGCTTCTAAATAGACCACAAACACGGGCTGCCCCTCCTGCACACTCTGCTACTGTGGAGAGGAACAAGAATGAAACAGACAGAACACCACTCCCTGGGAATGCATCACCTCTGGGAAGAAGCCGTGGAAATCAGAACACACCAGCCCCAGAATGGAGTTGGTGCCCAGAGAGAAACAGAAATGCACAAACCCAGACCTGTTTACACGAATGAACATTCTTGTAGCACGGCCTGATAAGCCTGTTGCTAAGCCTACCTTGCTTCCTGTCACAGAGCACCTGGCTCCTGGCGCAGGAAAGATAATCGCTCTGGGAACCTGCTCCCCTTAGGAGACCTGGTAGAATGCTTGCAGTCCAGGGTGAAACCTGCCTTTCAACAGAGCTGCGCCTCCTCCCATGTAAGACAAGGGGAAACTTGACCCGCAAAGGAAAGGGTTTGCACACACACAGTTCTACCGAGTGTCGGTAGTGGTATATGACCCTTGGGGAAGGGAAGGAGCCCTGGATCTCCCAGCTCAGAGCACCTCCTAAACAAAGACCCTAAAGTTTCCCTCCAGGACAAACATGAGACATGGGACACCCAGGCGAAAACACAGCTATCATCTGTCAGTCCTGACACCAGCACTGTCTGCACCGAGAGCCAAGCGGAGAGATCAGAGAAGCCCTGGGGTGGGAGTGGGGACTGTGGAGGGCAGGAAGAGGTGGAACGGCCTTTGGAGAGACCCATATGAATAGCAGGCATTTTTGTCTGACCCCAAAGAGGAGGGCAAGGGGGAGCTGTGTGATCCGAACCAGGATGAAAGAATGATTGGCCTCCCCTTGTAATCAAAGAGTTTAATGAGGCTTATTAAAAGCCCATTTCTGGGTCCTGTTGAAGAATTACTCCCATAAGTGTTTTCTGTTTTTTTCATAGGAATTGCCTCCCAGGGATTAAACACACACATATACACACCCTCCCCGCAAACCCCGTGCCCCACATGTTCACAATCCTGACAAATCCCGCATATCCTGGATATCACACGCATTGTAGGTGTGTCTACATCAGTGGTGTCCACAATTCACAACATACCATAAAACAAAAAAAACCCAGGCCCAATCCCTGAGGTTATTCAGGCACCCTTTGAAATTCCAGGCTTTGAGGGAACCCAAGAGTTTCATCCTCAAGGAGTTATCATCCATAAAAACAAACAGCCTCACATCTAATCCACAGCATTCTCCGTGTCTTGCCTCAGGCAAGGTAACTCAGCAAAGGCAGGAGCTACCATGCTTGCTTTGGAGCCCAGATCATTAAGCTTTAGTAAAAAGCAGCAGACTTACAGCAGGGTCACTGCACAGGAAGAGGAGCCTGTGTCATTCCCCCACCCGTGGTGGAATCTCTCTGATATGCTAAATCCCAAGCCACTTGGTGGAGGCAGCCCTTGGATAGGGCCGATTTTCTCTCGTTATGAGCTTACCCAGAACCCACAGCTACCTTTACTCACAGGCAGAGAAGGCATTGCTTGCTTTCTGAAACAATCAGTTAGACGCAGAAAAGAATCCCTTGCAGAAAAATATCCCAGCACCTTCATGGGCTCCATCCTGGTATTGACCTTCCAACATTGTACTCACTGCCAAGGAGAGGGTACAATGAACATCAAATGCTAAAGCCAACCGGCAGATCAGTCTGCTGTTATTAGAAACAAATGCTTTGGAGTGAGTAAATCTGGTTGCAAGTCCAGCTCTGACCCTTACTCATTGTATGGCCTTGGCCAACTCTGAGCTGTCGTCTCCTCTGCCAAATGGCAATGACAATGTCCTACTATCTGATAGAGTTGTGGGGAAGATCACGAAGTACCCGACACACTGTAAACCCCAGAGCAGATGTTAAAGATTCTCAGGATGAGACAAGAATGAGGACACGGAGGCGCTCATTGATTGGCCTGTTCTTATTCCTTAAGGGCGAAGCCCATGTTGTATTTTTCTTGTTATTCTCAGTACACAACACAGAGGCTGGTACCCAATACTTGGAGGAAAGCCGTACGAAAGAAAGAACGCAAAATGAATGAATCTGTGAATTAAGTGGCCTGCCTAAGGTCACAGAGCAGATCACTATGGGCTGGAGTCCAGATCTCCTGACCTTCCCCCACAACAAACACGTGTGCGTGCGCATGCACACACACACACACACACACACACACACACACTCCAGAACTCTCTAATTCTAGCCACACCAAGCAGCTGGCTTTATTGAAGGAATAGTGAGTGTCACACCAGCTGCAGCAAGGCCCAGGTTTCAATAAGCCCTACCATTCCCAGGGTAAGACCCAACGTAGGCCAGGCGAGGCCTAAGGGGCCGTCACAAACTCTCCCGTGAAACATTCCAACTCAGCAATGGGAACAAACAGAAACCACAATTGCAAATAATACCCACATACCTCAAACTGGCGCATCTTATTTCCTGACTTGAATTGTGCAAAACAGAAAAGTCACAAGACTGGGAACAATGGGTCTGGCAAGAGTTAGATCATGGAGACTAGAAATGTATCTTGTTTCGGGCTCACTTTCAGCATCATTACTTACCTACTGACCAAGTGTTCGAGAGATCACTATCCCTCCCTGATTCTCAGTTTTTCCATCTGCAAAACAAGAAGACAATCACAATTAATCCCTTGAGATCTCTGGACTAAGACGCATCACAGGTCTTATACCTAGTATTAGCTACCAACTACTTATGATGCCACGACACCGAGGAAACCACGAATAGTCAGGGGTCGAAAGGGAACTATTTAGAAAAATGAAGTATAGTTATAGAAAACTAAGGGTGATAACTAATAGTTATGTGTCAAGCAGAATGCTGATGAGGCCCAACTCTCAGTACAGAAAACTCAGCCTTCCAATCATTCAGGCACTTAGTTCTATTTTCACAGATGTCAAAATATAAAAGACCATCAAGAATACCAGGGGAAATAGAGTCAAGAAGAATGCCACAACTTCAACACATTATTTTTTTCAGTTTTTTTCTTCTATACATAGAGTTTATCATTTTTCAGAGCAGGGCCTATGAAGACATGCTATTAAAAAGTACCATGTGGATTAGGATTTCCCCTCTCTTGCCACTTGTGTTAGACCATGATCATGACCATTAACCTTACTATTAAATCATGTTCATTCTCACCACTTTTGGCAGCTTCTTAAGGAAAATCTCAGGTGTGTGGTCAGGTTTCTGGAGGGCACTGCCCACACCTGAGCACAGCAGAGTGAGGGGCCCCCTTGGACTGGTCTCTCCCTAGTCTAGGTTTGGGAAACATAAGGAAACTGGTCCTGCTGATCCCAGAGAGCCCTTTTGACTTAAAAAAAAGCAAAACTAAGAGAAAGGGAAAGAAATTCCTGTATTTGAATCCCCACAGTGACAGCTACTGAGCCAATAATATTTACAGATGTTAATCTCATGGTCCTCATAAACACCTTGGGAGACTTTACAGGTGAGAAAGCTGCAGCTCAGTAGGCTTGGGGATCCATCCAGGGCCTCATGCAGTCATTTTGGTACCCTTCACTATTTCTGCCATACCCATGTGACTTCTCTACTACCATTTACTAATTGTCCCAAATCAATTCATTTTTTTTTGAGTCAGAGTCGCATTCTGTCATCCAGGCTGGTGTGCAGTGGCACGATCACGACTACCCAGCCTTGACTTGCTAGGCTCAGGCGATCCTTCTGCCTTAGCCTTCCAAGTAGCAGGAATTACCAGTGCGTACCACCACACCCAACTAATTTTTGATTTATTGTAGAGATGAGGTCTCGCCACGTTGCTCAGGCTGGTCTTGAACCCCTTGGGCTCAGGCAATTCTCTTGCCTCTACCTCCCAAAGTGCTGGGATTACTAGGTGTGAGCTACTGCACCTGACTCAATTCACATTTTCTAAAACTTAACTTTATTTGTAAATAATATTTTTTTCAAGTTTCTGCAGCTCTCTGTTTCTGTCCTTTCTCTCTATGGCCCCAGTAAAAGGTGACTTTGCAACTAAGATGGGTTCTATATTTGCAAACTTGTTGCTAACAATGTAAAGGAATTTGCCATCAAAACCATTCTATGTATAAATATCTATGAAGTCATAGGTGTAAGGTGCTGTCTATATATTTTTTCTGATGCTCATTAAAATAAAAATGTTTTGAAATTTAAAATGTTCATCCATGTTCTATATCAACTCCCATGATTCCTCTATCTACTTTGGGGAGCTGGTCTGAAGTCCCTTACTAAAGTGTGACTTTAAAAGCTAAATCTGTCATATTTCAAAGCCAAAACAGTAAAAACACCTAACACTTAGTCTATGTCAAGAAAGTTGTCCAAGGTCATACAGCAAACAGCTGAAGGGACCAGGATGGACCTCTGCCAGCTTGCTTCTAACCTGGTGCTCCGTAAGTGTGCTTAGTTCCCTCTGCATCTCCTCAGGTCCCAAATCTGTACTTCCGTGGCATCTGGCCACCAAGTAAGTTGTTTCCAAATCCAGGCAGGGTCATCCTGTTCTGTTCTGCTGTCCTCAGCTTTTCCATAAAGTGATTAGATCGTATCAATATCTATTTTACAATCCCAAAAGGGCATTTGAGTATGAAGCTGCATAATTTCTAAAACTAAGTGTAGAAAATGTGAATTGAAAGTGATTCTTTACTCTAAGACCCAAAATAGTAAGCAAGGAAATCAAAAAGGCTGAGGACATAATACCCAGGAATGCTGCTACCACTTACAATGAGATAAAATCCCAACCTAGTCAGGGGAAGGGGGGAAAGTGGCAACGTGACTGTACTGGACACTGATCGAAGCTGTTGTCGAGTGTCTTTCTAGAGCTCTAAGCTTCCATTTCCTGTCATCTGGTTTAAAATTAATTGGCATGAATTTTTTATGACCAGAGAGCAAATAGCCTGAAAGGCCTGTAGAACTGGCCTGGGCTTGTTCTCTTTAGTGCTCCCCATTTCTGCACTGAATATGAGTTGCAAAGTTGTGCAGAAACAGGAAAACCAACAGAACCCTTACTATTCATTCACGATTCAATGATACCTCTTCTAGGGAGCCTCCTACCAACCTGAGTCAGAATTAGCCACTCCCTTTCCTGGCTTTCCTCACGTCAATACTTTACTACAGGCTCTGTTATATTGCAGTCATATTTTGCTTCCTCTTTTTGAAAGTTTTTTTTTCTATTACCCAAATACACTAAATACAATAAAAATTCACCTGCCACTAGCAATATGATTTTAGATATATTTCCCTCTAAATCTTCTTGTATAAATACACCCATTCACACTCACACAATTCACATCAGATACTTTACAAATGTGATTATATTATACTCACTCATTTTAATCTATTTCTAAGTTAGTAAAATAGCATGGTTTTAAATGGTTGTGTAGATAAGTAATTAATCCCCTACTGATGGACATATAGTCATTTCCAATTTTTCATTAGTGTAAATACTCTAATATTTTTGTGCATATTTATTGATATATATTTCTTGTTTGATTATATACTTAGATTATATTGCTTAACATTAAAAAAAATTATAAGTGTCCTCCCACTTATAATTTCAAGGAGCATATGAGTAGGCCAATTTCTCTTGCTCCCATTAAGATTAAGCATTAGTGTGCTTTTAAAATCTCTGTCAATGTGATTGGTAAATGGTGCCTAAGGATTTTAATCTGCATTGCTTGAATATCAGTCAAACATCTTCTCTGTGTGCCTTGGTCATTGCATTTCTTTTGGGAATTGCCTGTTCATAGTCTTTTACTCATTTCTTGTTAGAGTATTAGTCTCTTGTTGGTATGGACGAATTTGCCATTTGTTTTTTGTCTTGATTGTTTTTATCCTTTTTCCAGCATGTTCAATCACACATTTACTAGTTGCTCCCACCAGAAACCTGGGTACCTGTCTTGACATTACACTGCATGTTGCCAATCAATCACCAAGTCCTATCAATCCTACTCTCTAAATACACCTTAAATCAGTGCGTTTTTTCCTCCCTCTCCAACTCCACACCCTCATCCTCTCTCACTGGCACTTTTGCTGTAGCTTCACAACAAGTCTCCCACATCTTTTACCCCAATTCTCTCATCACCAATTGGATCATCTCTTCTACCTAAAGCTTTTTGACAGCTTCCTATTCTATTGAAGACAGAATTCAAAGTCCTTCATGTGTTCTTGTGCCTACAAGGCTGCTGCTAGAACCTGGCTTCTATACTGCCACTGAGTCTCTATGCCTGAGCTACACTGGTTCCCCTTCAGGTCCACAAATGAATCAGACTTCCCAGCTCAGATCCCTGAGTGCTGCTCCCTCTGCCTGGAAGGTTATTTGCTCTCCTCTTTGTCTGGCTGACCAAATGCATCCTTCAGCCTTCTTATATGCCATCTCCTCAGAGAAGCCTGGAACCCCAAGTTAAGTGAGCTCCTCTGACTGTTTACTAAAGTTTTCCTTTGAGGTACATCTGATAACTGCAATTAAGCACTGTTTGTCATGGTTTGTTTAATGAGTACCAGATTACAAGCTCTGTGAGGACAGAGACTGGGTCTCTTTTGTCTACCAATGTCTACTCAGAGCTTAGCATGGTACTTAACACACACTAGGCATTCAACAAATACTTACTGAATTCCTTAAACACATGTATACAAGATTTAAATAACCTATCTAATCCAAGGATCAAACAAACACCTCTAGGTTTCACAAAGAAATTAATGTGGGTCTTCACACAGAAAGTAGCTCAGGTGACAAGTCAGTCCTGTCTTCAAATGTGTAGGGTCTGGTTTAAACCTAATCATGAAGGACTGTTGAATATCTATTCATGTGCAAAACTCAAAGCAAGCCCTGGCTTTAGCAACCACAAGAACACTGTAGAGGAAGCATCTCAAAAGCAAAGTCTATGCCCTGTGCTTTTTTGTAGCTCCCTCTTCTTTCCACCCTATGTTTTGCCATTTGTTTGTTTGTCTGAGTTTGGCTCTCACTCTGTCACCCAGGTTGGAGTGCAGTGGCATGATCACAGCTCAACACCGCCTTGATCTCCTGGGCTCAGGTGATCTTTCAGGCTCAGGTCATCCTTCTGCCTCAGTCTCCCAAGTAGCTGGCAGTACAAGCATGGGTTTGTGCCACCAAACCCAGCTAATTTTTTATTTTTTATAGAGTCGAGGTCTAGTGCTATTGTACACACTGGTCTCAAACTCTTGAGTTGAGGGAATCCTCCCATCTCATGCTCCCAAGTTACTGGCAGTACAAGCATGAGCCACCATGCCTGGCTTGATGAACGCCTTTTAAATGAATTTAATTTCAAGTCCAATTATACAGTAAGTATATCTAATTCACTGCCTTCTCTTCTGCTTAACATTTTACAATAAATTTGTATTACTAGCATTATTGACATGATGCAATTTTCCTCTATAGATCAATACCTATATTTATGAATATTTTCTCTTGGGTTATTTTCCTGAATTTAAAGTGGTCTGTAGGTCAGAGAGGCTCAGCTCTCCTCTAGTTACATCTCTGACTTGGTCCCTGAATCTACCTTGTCCTCAACTTGGCATTCAGTGCACTGAATTAAGTGAAATTGTACCCTCTTGCTTTCATAGAGGGTCTCCAGAATGAAATCAAAGATTAGGCTG